GCTCCCGGCCCCGCTCCCGGCCCCGCTCCCGGCCCCGCTCCCGGCCCGGGCTGTGCCTGCAGTGCCCGGCGGGGGCAGCAGGTGGCGCCGTCCCCCGCGGCTCCGCGGGCCGGGCCCCGCCGGGGGTCGGTTCTGAGCCTTAAACTCAAGATTTTCCCCTTCGGCCGGAGAACCCTCGGTGGGAACCTGCTTGGAAACGGTGACACTGGTGACAGTGCGGGTTTTTCTGTTAAGGGGGCGGTGACGTTTAAAAATTAGCCTAAATGAGTTACAATTAACAAACCCATTACTCGTATCCCTGCTTTGCCTCTTTTATCTCTCCCGGTTCATGAACCCCGTTGGGACCCGAGCGTCAGCGGAGCCCCCCGGGACCGGCGGCTGCCCCGAGGGAGGGACGCGCCTGTGCTGGGGGTGCCTTTGCAGACCCAGGCGGGTGCGAGTTCAGAGGTGCAGCGCTGCAGCCCCTGTTGGGACACGCGGGTATCCATATGAGCATCTCCTGCGAGGTCAGCTGCCCAAAGTGAGCACTCGTGGCCTTTGGCTGATGGCTGCACTCGCTTGATGTGGCTTTTTGGCTGGGAAGGCTCGTGCGTGGCCATGAAGGTGCTGGACATTCCTCCCCTGTGGGCAGCGTCCAGAGGTCCAGCAGGGGCAAATGTGTACAGTACAGTAATCTTTTACCTCTGATCAACCTACCTCCCTACCTTCTGCGAGTATTGACTGGCTCTAAGGGCAGGAGCTGTAAAGTATGGGCCAAGGGTTAGTTCCTGAGAGAACACTATGTCCTTACGATGTCTTTAGACGAAGACTGAAGACAGTAATCAAAAAGGCTATTTTTAACCATGGGTTGATTTATTTGTTTTTCTTGTACAGCTATTGCACCTGGAGCCACTGATGATGGCTTGATTAATTCTCGGTGATTTCTTTTTTCTCCACCTTCCTCTGCACGACTCTTCTGACTGGCGTGAGGTTGCATTGCAGCAAGCACAGTCTCTGGGTTCTCCCCTGCAGCCCCAAGTAAAGGCAGCTTTGGGCTTGTTGGTGAGGGCAGGAATCCTGGAGCCACGTCTGAGTTCGTGATGTGGATGGTCCATGTGAAAGTAGGTCAACCAGGAGGGTTCTTCTGTTCCTCCTGTAGCCGTGAATGTGGCTGAACTTGCTTCAGGCCACATATTCTGTGTGGGGTGAACACAGTACCAAAAGTTAGAGTGGCCACCACTGGTTGCAAAGCTCTCTCAAGAAAGTGGATGGATTGGTGATGATTATTATCCAGCCTCAGCTGGATAACATGCTTCTGGTCATCACGGTATTGCTGACTGTGCCGCAGCTTGTTAAAGCCAGGTTGGTATCTGTGCAAACATTATTATATTGACTTTGGAGCCCTGCACTGGAGGAAAAAGAGTCATCCTGAGATTTTTTTTTTCTTCTTTTTCTTCTGTGAGCATTGGACAGATGTTGAGGATTCTCCCTTTCTCTTTGGACTTGTTCCTTGCAGTGGGGGATAGAGAGTGAGGTGGTTTCCCTGCCATATCTTGGGGCTGAATCTGCTTGATCTGGACCCGGCAGCTTCCTAGACAGATACCTGTCCTGACCCTTGTAGCAGCACTTAGTGCTAAGTAAATTCAAGGCTACACAGTTACTGGAGCACTGTGGGAATATGTAAGGAACCAAGATTTTCAGAAGTGCCTGTGGATTTTGAAATCTCAGACTTCAGACATCTATACTGAGAAAACCAAGGGAAACCTGATGGCAAACCTGCACCAGAGCAACTACTTCTGCAAACCCAGTGCTGCTAGTGTGTCTGCCCCATCCAAAAGCCTTCTCAAAATGCTCTGCCTCCCAGGATTTTCTAAATATTCTCCTTTCATCCCCATCGTAATTCACACCTTTTTTTTTTCCCCTCTGTGTGACTCAGTAACAGTCACCTCCCTTTTTTATTTTTCCTAGTTAAAGGTCAACCTGAGCTGTGTATTACAGATGAAAGGATGCAGCCCAAAGCCAGCCTAGGGGCCCAGTTTGTGTTGTGGATCTCTCCTGAGGGCACCTCTGTTTGCAAGTGTGTGCCTTGCAACTTCTGAGAAGCCTACAGAGATTGCTATTATTTAGGATAAGTTCTGTCAAATTTATTATTCAGTAATTTTTTTTTTCATATTTCCTTCACAGAACCCAGCCACTTTCAGGCTGTAGTTTTGAGCCTACTCTGTGCCAAGTGTCAGGAATGACTTTTTGTCCTCAACGCTGAGGTGACATTTCCCACCAGTGCAGATGAAAGTGTCTCTTCCCTCCAAGGACATAGAGGAGGAGATGGCAGAAAGTGAGCTAAGTTCTGTTTTCACACTTGAAGGTAAAATGTTGCCAGATTTTGTCCATCCACACACGGTCTTTAAGATTTAATCTTGAGGTATCTGTTCTAATGTACTTGAGCAAACAGTAGATAGACACAGTGGGAGGGAGTTCAAGGGCAGCTGCAGTAAGCCCTAGGTGTAAATACAACTGAGGAGAAATAAAAAAGGGATGATCTCCTACTGAAGCCAACCCTCAAAGTGAGAGAACCTCTACAGGACTTCCTATAAGGAAAAGACATGTTCACCATCCTCATTTTTCTCTGTAGCTCATGTTTTCACCTAGGTTGCCAGGTGGATGTTTACTTCCAAAGCAGATGTCTCCTTCCCCCTGCCTGGATCCCACTGGCTGTGGACAGCGTGGCAGCTGGCATACTGTAACACCTGGCTCCCCCCATGATTAATGCTCAGAGCTGTGGCTATGTGGGTGAAATCTGCAGCACTGCCATGTGTGCCTTTATTCTAGTTTCCAGACTATGCAGATACATGTGGTAGAATCTTTATATATACACCTTTGAGATGCACACCTATAAAGGGAATACACCAAAATCTTGTAACCTTGTATCAGTTGTAAATAAGGAATGGCATCTCATGTCTTTTTTTATTCTTTTGAGGGGATTTTATCTATAGGTTGAGTGTGTTAAGGGAGTTTACCTCACTGCAGGTGTACCTAGCACTTTTATTGTGATGGAGCATAGATTGCACCATGATTTCTGAAGAGGCTGCTCTTTAAAGAGGTAAGATACAAAGCAACAAGCACATTCATATAATAGATCATCATTTAAGGTAACACATTCTGCCTGACATGTAGTGTTTTGCACATTTTGAATTGTCTCCTGCCAAAATATTCAGGCCTGCAGGGGGAACCCCTATTGGGAACACAGGACAGATGGATCTGAATCCAGTCATGAAACTCCCTGGGGCCAGCAGTGTGATGTTAATGATCACACCACAGTAAGATGTAAAACATACCTTTGTGCAGCTCAGTGTAAACAGCAACTTTGGTATTATGATGTAAATGAGAAACCAGCAAGAAATGATGTGTGAATGGAAACACAGCAAGGTGCTCTGAGGGAGCAGGAAGCACAGTGCAAGGGGAAATTCTGCACATTGCAAGTGGAAGTAAAATTAAACCCTGGGCTCATTTCATTGTAGAGATAAACTTTGAATACTACTTGGGCTGATGCAGAAGGGAGGGAACTCACCAAGCTGTACCTAACCCCAGCCAAGGTTCTGGCAGGGCTTTGGATAGGTTCCTATTAGGCTTGGGTTCCTGGGATCACCAGTTAAGAGCTGGAATGTGGGACTGGGTCCAAAGAGAAGATAAAAATCACCAATATACCTTATTCTAATATATCCTATGGTCCACCTTCCTGCTCAAATTAGGGCTGGCTTTGAAGTTAGGCAGTGTTGCTCAGGACTTTGACTGTCTGATTTTCAGATGTCTCCAAGGGCAGGGATACCTCTCTGGGGAGGCTTGTTCTAGTGTTTGGACAACTTCATGGCGAAAACATTTGCTGTAGCATTGTGTAAGTCTAAAATGGCTCCATGTTTGGAGGGCATGAAAGACGAGAACCTGAGAACAGGTAGAAATTAAAGGGACTAGAGGGGCTATCCAGAGATGCAGGACGTGCAGCTGGGTCCCCAGCATTATTTCAGAAATCCCTGATGTCCCTCTGGAAGTCCTCCCCTGAGTGGGTAATGGCAGCTTGCCTTGGAGACGTGATTTGCATTGGGTCCTGGTGAAACAGAAGGTGCAGTCAGAGAGCCTGGTGTCGCCAAGGTAATTTAAAAATGTGCTGGGCAGCAGGAGTGGTGCTGTGTCTGCTGCTGGCTGTATTGTAACAGTGATGTGCCTCTTTGTCCCAGAGTTCCCCGTCCTCTTCCTCTCATCTCTAGCAAAGGAGTGAAGGGCTTGCTGGGAAGCTGAGCTTGAAGCTAGAGGAGGTCATACTTAACTAACCTCCTGGAGTTCTTTGAAGATATTACTGCCAGGCTAGATAAGGGGAATTCAGCAGTGTGCTTAGAGTTTCAAAGAGCATTTCACAAAGTTCCACATCAGAGATTAATAGCTAAGGCAAAAGGTAAAGGAAGAGGAGGTAATAGAGGCTGTTGGATCAAAACCAGCTCGAGGGCAGGTATGAGACAATAAGCACAGATGAAAACTTTTCAAGCTGGCAGAAGGCTGTTCTTGGGACTGTTTCAGGATCTCTGTGATGTGTAATCCAGACAGCACAAAGGTGCCCCACCATGCTGATGTCTCTAAGGCAGCCTGGGTTTGGCACCACCAGCAGCAAAGTGTCCTAGCTAGACCCCCTTCTGACTTCCCAGCCTGATCAGCCAGGAGTCCTTTCATGTCTCTGTTGGGTGGGAGCAGTTGTCATGGTCTGAAGTCACCAGTTCCTCTGGGGCCATGTCAGGGGGCTGCCAGCCCTGCTGCACCACCACGTGTTTCAGAGCAGTCTATTTGCTGGACCTTGGAAACAGTGAGCTTGCTCCTCAGAAACACTGTGTGCATGTGAAGCTGCTGAGGTCTGAAAATTTACTCCAGCTTTGTGGTGGGTTGAGGGAAGAGATAATTTGGTGTAAGGTCTCCCCAAGTCTGGGCACAACCTAAGCAGATTCACCAGGGCCAAAATCTCTTCAGTGACTCTGCTAACAAATGACAAAATGGAATTAAATGTGGAGAAATGTAGAGTAATTAATCTGCAAGCAGTGAATTGGTCTGGGGAATATGCCTTAACAGAGCAAGCATTCAGCAGAGCAATGAAGAGAGGGATTTGATGTGTGTGTGGGGTTAGTTTCTTTTGGAAAAATCCTTGAAACTGTCTGCCTAGATCACATCCGTAGCAAAAGGGCAAGCAAGACACAAGGCTGCATTAATGGAGGGACAGGATAAAAACTAGAAGAGGTGGTGTGTCTATTGCTGGTAAAGGCATTAGCTCCCACCTGGAATATTGTCAGCAGTGTTGGCCACTGCACCAGTGTGTTGTAGCATAAGGCAACAAAGAGTAGCCCTGCAGAACCTGTGCACAAAGGTGAGAGAGTTGGATTTTCCTCCACAGGCTTCTTCCCACTGCATCCATTCATCATCTAAAGAGGAAATCTGAGGAGCACAAAGGGTTTCCCTTTAACTCTAACAGATGTTGGGAGTTTTGAAGTCAGTTATATTTTTCTCCAGAGTATTTATTTCTCTCTGTGTTTCTCTTGTTCCCTTCCACCCATTTCTTCTCTTCTTTTACGGTTTCCTCTTTTCTTGCTTCTTTCTCTCCTACTCCAAGCCAGGGGGTTGGTTTGTTTTTCCCTATTACATTGCTTCTCCTCCACCCCTGCCCAGGAAAAGTCAACTCACTTCTGGCTCCTGAAGGAGTCCCATCTCCAGTGAAGGAATTGTTACTTATAGGCTGTGCAGGAGGGTGAAAAATACATTTTTCCACATAGATTTGGATGAAAAGAAATCAAAGCCATTGCTTTTGAAGAGGAGAAGCTCAGCAATCAAACTGAAGGCAGGGCATGGAATATTACTCAAACTGACCATTGAAACTCTCAGATGTGGCTTTCCTTCTACACTCAAAGGAGTTCACAATGCCATGGCTGTTTCCAATCATGAAAAGTCAGTACTAAAATCTTCCTTTTTTTCCCCCTGGTGTATATTCAGAGCAAGTTCGGCACGTTGCTCTGAATTTACCCAGCTATAGAGGACAGCTGATTTCATTTGAGCTGTACAAGAGGCAAGCTTATTTTGCTTTCCCTTGGATTGTGGTAAGCTTGTCAATCAATGCCCAGGGCCAGTCCATACAAAACAGTTGTGCCAGGTAAGAAATGCACTTGTCAAACTGTCAAAATATCCATTTCTTCTGCTCCTCTCTTAACCAGTCCTGAACACTTAAGGAAGGCTGAGAATTTTAGGTCTGTATGTATGTTGAGCTGTAAGGTATAAGTCACAATCATGACAGCACCTTAAATGACAGCAATTAGTATTTCTCAAAACTAGGGCTTTTTTCCCCCTTCATTGACTGATACAGCAATCAACGGACTGATGCACAAAATGATAAAATAGGCCTCTAATAAGAAAAGGAAAACCTATTATTCTTGCTGTTTAAATCCCCTGAAGCAGGATTGGCTATTGCTATAAAATCAGTGGAATTATCCTTGCTATTTCAACTTGCCAAACCAACCTTTTATCCCTTTAAATTCAGGTCTTTAGAGTAACTTGCCAAAATAATCTCTTGGCACCACTGAGGTGAGAACCCACATTGTGCTGCTCACATAACTTCCCTGCTCATAGAACCATTCATCCTGGACAGATTTTGACTGGGGACTTGTGCTTTTAACCCTTTTAGTTGCTTTTGAAAATACTGCCTTGCTATCTTGCGGGAAAAAATCATGCCATAATGTATCATGACAGTGGTGGTTGTGAGGAGTGTAAAGAAACATTTAAATAGAAATTACAGCTAGAAATGACAGCATGTAAGGAAAAATCAAATTACAGGATTTACCTTCCAATTCTTAAGGGCAAAGAAATTTATTTGGCCCTTTTCTTGGATGTAGCTGGGCAAGGGAAAGAAATGCTGAGTCTCATATGATCTTAATTATACACTCTGGGTGCCAGCAACTTTCAGGGTACATGTGGATTCTTGACTGAGGCTCAGTGTGTGAACTCTGTCACTAGAGGACTGTGTCACACACAGAGCTGGGACAGGAGCCATCATTCACAATTCAAACAAACCCCAAGCCCTTCAGAGATTGAAAAGAAATATTCAGTTAACCATAAAAACCGTGGCATGATTCTCCATACCCTTGTGCCCTTGGGAACAGAAATACTTCAGGCTTCAAGTCAGGCCCTTCTTGTGAGGCTCTTGGACTGGACTGGAACCATCAGCTATTCAAACTATTGTACAAAATCTCGCTCTTTTGCAACTCCCAGCAGTTTTTCTAGACAAGGAGCACTATAATTCTAAGCTATAGATGCAACTCCACAATTTCACTTCAAAACTTTTCCCTTGATTTCTTGGGTGTCTTGGCAGAGGGTGTTTGGACATGACAGACCCTGGAGGTACATGCCTTGCCATGGGACAGTGGAGAAAAGGGGCAGGTGCTGGGTGCAGGAGGCTGATTGTTACCAGCTGCAGCAAAAGTGCCTGTTTCCTGTCAAGTTTCAACAAGAAAATCTAGGTGAAAGAGATGATGTTGGGAACATTTCTTTTCTGTAGATACTTGGTCTTTGTGTGTTGACTGAAGGCCTGCAAGACTTCACTTGTCTGGCTGTAAGCCCCTCAGCGGGTTTTGTAACAGCCCTTGAGCATGAGAGATGGTGCAGCTGCTTCCATCCTCCCACCTGAGCCACCTGAGCTGCAGGGGGATGTCAGGCATGTTGCACCCTCACCCCCAGGACACATCTGAGTTTGGTGTCACAACGGGAATCTTGTTGTGAGGAGCAGGAAGGTGTCCTTCATGTTGCCTCTAGAACTGAAGTTAGGCCACTTTCATGTTCTTACCTTAACTGTGTGTGGAGGAGAAGGGTACGCAGGGATATTCTTGTGCTCTTCTGGGATTGCATCCTTAACAGAAAGCATACACAACTGGGGGGGATGTTCCTGTGACCAGCTGTGTGACAGCAAAATTACTGCTCTCATGATAAGCAATAGAGGTTCTGCTGCTGTTCAGAAATATACTGAGGGTTCAGACCAGAATGAAAATCAGTCCTACACATGGTTGTTCACACTGTGGGCTCTTTGTACTGTCTTCAGGGGGAGAAAGTCTGCTGTGGAAATCCATCATGTCCTGGCAATTTAGAAGAATTAGAGGGAACATGCTTACTTACCTAAAAGAACAAATGCGAACATATGGAGATTGCCTTTTTTTTTCTTAACCTTAGGAAGTACCAGCAAAGATTTTCATGTTTGTAAATTGTCATTTTCTTAGAGCAAAGCCTTATGGAAAAGTCAAGTGTTTTTTTATGGAAGACGTGATGGAAACTATTACAGCTCTGATCCTCGCTATTGCTAGAAAAAACAGAGGTAGCAGCAGAAGAGGAAAGTAAGCACTAAAGGTCAGCTATGAGCCACAGGAAAAATGGTGTGGCCTCATCAGAGTTTTCTTTGGCTTCCTGAGGTCCCTACCTGCCCTCAAGAGAGTCCTTTCTTCATTGACTCCTGTGTGGATCTGTCCTCTGATGGCTGAACAAATTGCTCTTCTCAGCAGTGACCAAACGTGAGAATAACAGGTTTTCTCATGAGGATCACATCTGGGCAACTGCTGTCATCTTTCTCTGTCCTGCTTGCTCTAACTCTTGACTTGGAGGGGGGAAGACTGGTGTTTCAATGTATGAAATGCCAGCTGGGATCAAATCAATAACATTGATTTCATCTTGCGCCTCCAAAGAGCTGGGACTTTTCCTTTTAATTTTTTTTCCCTGTAGCTCTATTCTTTGAGAAGTAGAAGAGTGAAACAAAGACATTGAGTGCTGCCAGTGGTCCTCAGGCACAGAGGCCAGAGCCAGAGCTGCAGAGCCCTCCATGGGTTTGAATAGTTTCACTCTCACTGGACTAAATCAGGTTTGGATGTAGGAACTTGGTTTTCACTTTTTGGGTTGGTTTGGGTCACTGTTTGTGAGTCCTAATAGGACAGAATGCCCTTGCTTGCTGGGACCAGCCCTGCAGCCAGCCCAGGGCCAGATGCCCAGCTGGTGAAGGTGACCACAAACCTTAACCTTAGAGAGTTATGCCAGGTTACAGTTGCCTGTGTTATGTCTCTGGAGGTTTTTTGACACATTATAGTTGTGCCTGCACTGACTGTTAAAGACAGTCATTGGTGACTTCTTTTGTGACCAGAGCAAGCTCTCTGCAGCAGCAGGGACTGTAGGTTGTTGATGCAGCCCCTTGCACCTACAGAGCAGGCAGCAAGGGTGGGAGGAGGGTCTGCTCTGCTCCCCACTTCTCAGGGCAGTATGGACACAGCCTGTAAATCCTGCTGTGGAGCAGCTGTGGTTTGTCAGGTTAAGGCCTGTGGAGTGGTTGTGGATGCTAAAGTAATGACAAGATCTTCCTATGGACCCAGTAGTTCATAAAGTATCAGAGGGCAAAGCAGGGCAATTCCTAGTAAGGCAACTAAAGTAAAATATAAATGGAAAGATGTAAACTTGATCATCCAAATGAGTTTACTTTCCTTTTTATACGACAGATGTTGTTTGACCTAGGAGAAAGAATAATATTATAGAAATGGAGATCAGTCTGAGGGGAAAAAATAAAGTCATATAAAAATAAACCACAAATAGCAGCTGCTTGAATTGTATTTCTAATATATCAGTGTTGACAGCTCTCTCTGTCCCCCAGTTGAGCCAGGAATCTTATACAAGTGGCTGGTAAAGAAGAGATGAGGAGGGATGTGAGCAGAGGCAACGGAGAGGCAGAGATGATACTGCTTTGTGTCGGTGAGTGTCCTGGGCAGGAACAGCCTTTGGAGATGTGTGAGGGGATGTGGAGGTGTCACTGCACAGCACATGGAGGGGCTCAGGGTCAGAGGCTCTTGCTGTTGGTTGCAGTGAGTAACACTCATCCGCGGTTAGGAACGACAACGTAACAGGGTAGAATAAAGAATAGTAAAATAAATAGAATAAAGTAATCCAAACTTGTGTTGTTGCCACAGTCTGAATGCCCATTTGGAGTGAGCTTTCTGTGGAGCATTAAATTAGTGTCCTGTGTTTATCTATGCCAGATGAGGAGCTGAGCTGAATGTGTAAGGGTAGTGGGTTACATCCTTGGGATGTAAATGCAAAGCAAGTTTCTTACTCTGTAGACTCAGTCAGTGGGAGAAATACTACCTAGAAAAAAAAAAGAATAAAAGATCCTGACTTCTCAGTGCAGCAGCTAGTGGCTTTGGACTGTCAAGACTGAGCTGTTCAGGCAGGACTGTGTGCCTAGGTTTGATTTGCAGCAAGTGGTAAACACCTCCTCTTTGACAACAAGTGATCTCTGACAGGGGCTTAAGATGAACGCAAAAAAAATAAAAAATTAAGGCATTCTTTCACTGTTTGTGAACAGTTAGGCTGGAACTGGCGTGATATGACTGTGAGAAAAACTGGCAGTGCTTTCCTTTGTGTGTGAGGAGCTGTGCCTTGGGCTGTGCGGCGCTGGGAGCCCGGGCAGGCACGGTGCAGCTCCGGCGTCCTGTCCGCAGCGCGCTGTAGAGCAAATAACACATTTTTATTTTTATACAAATGTGCATAACTTCATCCATTTCTTGTGGCTGCTCTGACAGGAAAAGGAAATTTATGACGCACATCACCCATTTATTTGGCACAGGCACTGTTTATTGCTGAGGGAGGCATTCTCATGGAATTGATTGCACAATTTCCTCCTGGTGTACTGTTTTCAAGTAATATCCCAAGACCTCTGTGTACTAAGATACAGGGACGCTTCTTTAAGGCCTGCAGAATACTACAGCAGAGGGGGGGAAAAGCCACATAGTGGAAAATAAAATGTAAAAATACAATTTTAATCACACTGTAAATCTGGGTATCTCTCCACTCTGCTGGGAGTGTCTGTGGAAACACTCACTCCCAATTGGTTAAAATTCTAGTTTTCTCCACAGAACTAAGAACAGCTTTGGATTTTATCAGTGTTTCATCTTCACAGGTATGAAAGGTCGGGGTTTTGTCCTGGGTTACTTGTAGTTCATGCTCTAAGCATGATGGTGGACATGTGGTGGGGGAAGAAATTCTGCACTTCGAAAAAAAGAGAATGGTATATGCTTAGTGTAATGGTTTGCTGAAAGGGTGGGATTGTTGCCTTTCCCAACAGGCAAAAAGGGGTTGAAACTGTTAATGTCACAAAAGGCAGGATGAGAGGGGTTGTTGCCTTGATTCAAAGAGCTGTGTAACAGCCATACTATGAATGGCACACCATAGAGAGAGAGAAACATCTGTCCTGGAAGAGGACTCTTTGTTTTATTTTTTTAATTTTATTTTATTATTTTTTTAAAATTATTTAATCTGCCCATACACATTCATTTGTACCAAATCTTTGGTATAATAGTCGTCTCATTTGCATTTGGAAAGGCACGGAGCTGGATGCTTGTAAACAAATATGTACTAGGTGATGACACTGGTTACAAGTAATCATGGACTGAAGATTGCAACCAGAAAATTCAGAGCTCTCTTTTGAAAAGATGACTCAAAGTGCAGGGATGGAAAAACAGTGGTGCATAACAGCAGTTCTGGACAATAGCTTCTGCTCCCTTCCACTCCATGGGGAATGTCAGTGACAACCCCACACATATCAGCATGCTGAAGGTACACATTGCTTCTGAAAGAGTTGCCTGATGAATAACTTTTTTTCTTTCCTGTCTGCCTGGTGAAAGGCTCCTCACCTGCTTCACTCTCCTAATTTCCTGGAGGGGGGTTTGGCAGCCAGCACAGCTTTAATTTTGTAATTTCACTTCTCTGGTGTCTCTGTTGGTTTCTGCTAACTTCACAATTATTCTTTCAGGCTCCAGATGAAAGCGATCTCCTCCTAAGCTTCTGTTTTCGCACTTCTGAATGGCAGCTTCCTCATCTCAGCCTCCTGATGCTCCTCCTCGGGGCTTGAAGCTGGGGACCAGCTTGAGCCCTGAGTGTGTGTTCTGCAGCTCTCGGGTGTACAGCTGTGGCGTGGGCTGGAGTGGGTGTTTGTTAGCACAGGGGAAGCTCACTGGTAATGGCCTTTTGTATGTGCTGACCTCTGAACCAGAAACAAGATTCAAACCTCAGAGGAGACCGGTGATTAATCAAACTGGGGATCAACTGTGACTCAACCTTTAGATTCCCAGCTGAGGTTGTGTCCACGGCTGATTAAAAGAGGAAAATATATTTAGCTATTTACAGCTGTATCTCCCTCCGAAAGAGGACAAGGCACCATGGATAAACATATTTATGTTTGTTAGATGTGCAAATTGTGGTTCCTTTGAAAACCTCACAGTTTATCATAGAGCCTCAGAAAGCACAGGGCTGTTTATTGACGCTAGAGGACTTCCCGAGACTGTGCCGTGGCCATCCCTGCTCGGAGTATTTGACACAGGCTGGCACGTCCACCAGGGAAAAACACCCAGGCACTGCCATCTGCACATGAAAGACTAAAGGTGGCTCCAAGCAGCCCTCTGTAGGAGATAATTTTCTCCCTCAATTAGGTTACACTTTCTAGATGCTGCACCTCAGAAACCTACACTCTTCCCTAGCCCAGCTCTACAGTCAGCCAGTGGTGAACAGAACATACAGACTTTCTATTGCTAATATATTTCAGAGTGCTGTGTGATATTAGCAAACTCCAAATAGCTGTCAGGACCTGAAGGTATTCTGGAACATCCTTTGATGTTACGAAGTAATGCGTTTTCCATATTATTCCTTTGAACACATTATATATGCAAAGTCTAGCACTTCTTATAGGAGAGGTGGAATTATCATACAATAAGATATTTTTTCCTCTAGTTCTTTCATGGCTCATAACATATAAAATTTCTCCTTAAAATCCAGGCTAGGAACTCAAACTTAATTTATACAGTATTGAAAACATTACAGGGCATAAATCAGTTCAATTTTTAAAGTTCCTGCATGATATTTTCAGAGCAGCCAAATTCCTTCATTCGCCTGGACTCCTTCCAAAATTCTGCCAGCGCTCATGGAAATCTAAATAACTTTGGAGAAAAAGCAGGTTTTCTGTGGAGGCTCAGATTACCCTGTCACCCTTCCTCCACTGCAGACAGGCCTCTGATAAACATGGAGAATAGGGACAGGGAAATTACTTCATTACTTCATGTCCTTTTCAATTACAAACATCAAGGAGTCTGAGCCTCCTGCCAGCTCACGCCCCAGACCCTTGCAAATTTGTGGCTTTCAAAAGCCAACAGTTGCATTTCCTTTGCCAGCAGGGATAAGCGATAGAAAGCGAGCAGGGGAGCTCACTTGAATTTTATTTCTGAGTGTTATTTAAAAAGTTTCAAATCTCAGCTTTGTTTATTTAAAGTAGGACTCCAGCTGAAATGTAAGTCTGTGAACTAGAGGAGTGATCAAAACAGGACCGCACCTTCCTTTCTTTTCTGGGAATTAATCACTTACTGGTGGTGTGTTACTGTAATCTTCCTGTGATCACTTAACCTGGAAGTGGTACTTCCAGAGAGCTTTGTGATATTCTCCTGCTGGCATCTTCAGATCTACTATTTGTACCATTCATCTGTTTTCACAGCACATGAGGATAATGCATTTGTTTTCTACCAGCTTTGCTTTGTGTTTTGATTTACATCTAAAGAAACAAGTGTATTTTCTTTGATGTAATTTTTCCATTATTGATGAACCAATATTACAAAACCAAGGCTTTTTAAGATCTTACTTAGAAACCTTGTTATTTCTACCAAATAACAAAAAAAGTAAACCCCAGTCTCAGAACATTGTGGCAGGATTGAATCTGATTTCCTACTTAAAGCACAAATCATACAGTCTCAACCTCTGCTCAGTTTTTAGGTTTTTTTTAGGCTTAAAGTCACCAAAATAGAAGCCTGTGTTTGGGTTAAACACAGGTGTCTGTGTATAGCTCTGGGAGGGTTTGCTGGGATTATTCTGTTCCTCTCTTTTTACACCATGATTCTGTAGTGTGGGCTCAGGTGACTTGGTACCTCGACAGGCCAGATGTCTGCCCTGCAGTGGTGTATGTCCTGATCACCTTTGTGATCATCTTTGTGGTCAGGAGAGAGGGAAGAGAGAAGAAGACCTGTGAAAAAGTTTTGGGGTTCTTCAGTGCTTTGCAATTCAGGTTTTGCTTTGATATGAATTCAACAATCCAAACATTCTTGTGAAATGAATCTGCAGTGGGTGTGGGTAGAGCAAACAGGTGATGACATGGAAATCAAGAGGCTATCCAGTTCTCACTACATCTTTTCCCAGGTTTTACTTGTTTCTGACTTGCACATTACTTGAATACTTCTGTTTAAGTCAGTGGGAATTTTTCTAAGTGAAATTGAAATTGTTACCTAGAAGGTGTGCAGAATCTTTTTGATGCCTTCAAAGCTTCATCCCTTGGCTGGAACTCTCCTGGATTCAGACTCTGTGTGGGTATGTACATGTATGTATGTGTGTGTTTGCTTCTTGATATTCTCTGCTACCTCTTGGGCCATAAATATTGTGTGAACCACAACAGAGGCATGTCTACTGCTGGTATCAGCCCAAGTGTGGAAGTACGTAAAACAAAAAAGTACTAAGGAAAAGTTCACCAGACTTGGAAACTCCCAGCTGGCCAGGTCTGGGCTTTGGGAGCTGCCTGGAATGAATGATCTGTACCTGGAATAATTTTGTGTACTCACTGACTCCCTAAGATAGGATGCCAAAACTGTTTTTTGCATAATGCTAAGGTCACAATGATGTAGGTATTTTTTAGTTAATGGAAATTTTGGATGTGCTGTAAGCAACTTTTTCTTTTAAGAAGGAAAACTGCAGATGGACTCTCATTCTATTT